TGCGTCTGCTGCATCCCCCCGACGAAGATATTGGGGTATAAAGTCTCTTGGCATGAGTCAGATTCCACCAGGGTCCGTGGATGAGCTGGGTGACAGGCAATACGGCGAATTGGAATGCGTGGAGAAGATGTCGTCGGAGATATGTCGTCATCTGCCAAAGATGGCGACGACGGCGGTAATTCTAACGGTCCTGTGGCTTCTTCTATATCAAAAGTAAAGTTCTTCAACCAATGCAGTACATCATCGTCGTTGTCGTCGTCGTTATCTGCCTGAAACTTGTGAGGCTTTAAAGGTGGCGGAACGCAAAGTTGCATAGTCCGCAGAACACATGCCAGTCCAGTGTCTGTGACTATAGTACGAGGGTCCATATCACGGAGGAGCTTCGTGTTCGGTACTTGACCTGTGCATAGTAGCTGATGATGTGCTCATTTTAGCTCACTGTCGCTCGTTAATTTGGAAAATCCTACCAGTAGGTCGGCAGTTATTGTCTGCCCTGATAGAGTTCGTACTACGCGTGGTTCTGAAGACCCTTTAGATGTGTGTTGGAGAGACTCGAAATCGAGTCGCTCTCCAAGAATAACCCGAACGTTCAGCTCCTGCAAGCCCTGAAGGGCTATATCACCGTTTAGTTGAAATCACTTGATAGACAACACAAAACTCACCTTCTTCATGTATCCCGTCATCAAACTTCGGCAATAAACGATGACGGGAATGCAGAAGCGTGACACGCTTTTGCGGGTATACGGCAGCGATGTCGGTTGCAAATTCTATATATAACCATGAAATGCATCCTTTGTGGAATAATGATAACTTACGGATACCAAGGGCGCCGCCACCAACGACTACACAGACGTGGCAGCCTCGACCCGTTTTTGGCGTTCCTGGAGGGACAGATACCCTCTGACTTTGTTCCCCCGTATTTGGTAGGCCAGTTGGTTCCAACTCGACTTTCATTCTAGCTTTTCGTGACCCCAAAGGTCTATTGGCGAGGGCAAGTGGGAGCCGAGAGCATAAATGGCATAATCAAACTCTAAAGATGATTGCTCTAATTCTCCCAGATTCGGAGAGAGGATGATGCGATGGTCGTCTATGGAGGTGATAGTTGCTTGCACACGAACATGAGTCGAACATGAATGAATGTCTGAAAGTGAGCCAGAAGGGAAGTTGATGTACGGATAACTAAAAAAGGAAATGTTAACCGCATTCGTCGAGAGCGGAACGTGCAGATTGAGCGGACGTACATGCTTTGTGCTCGTGACCGGCAAGAAACAGCATACCTAGAAAAGTTGTAAACGTCTAAAACAAACAATGAATCCTCTTCCAGGCTTGAAAGCAACGGGGCTCACGGTTCATGTGTCTATAGACGACGTAGGTCAGCGGAATGCTTCCACTAGATCCGGAACCGGGACAACGCACGAATTTCTATCTACCAAACAACTCTCCAGTCCTGTGGTAAACCCTCTGCAAGAAGTTGAGCGGCTCTTGAACCTAGAGGACATTTGGAGAAGGGTCAGTGAAAATGAATTTCAGCGCCATTCGTGCTGAACACACCTCCGTAGGAACCGCCCATGACGACAACTGTCCTGGTAGGAATTGACTTGTGCAGGGACATTGAAGACGGACGGGAACCTTTGTGGCAGCGGACATGATGCTAAGTCAGGCCTGCAAGTACGGGTTCGTTGAATGGAGTTTATCAGATAAGAACCGTGAGATAGTACCACTGCCAGTAGGCTGTGGCGTCCCGTTACAGCTGTGTCGGCCTACTGGTTATTCCGATCGGCGGGCGTCCGGCCTCAAGTAACCTTGGCTCAAAGCAAGCTCGAAGGATACTTGAGTTTCAATATCTCGGACAGTATTTATGTGGATTGTGGGATCTCTAGTAAGCCAGCATTCTTACAATGAATCGGCAAAGTCTAAAATGATAGAGCACGGATGACGTGGATTCGTACCGTATTATTTCTCAAGGACCCACCGCATGACCTGTATCTCCCATCTGACGTGTATTACACCTACTATACGGCGGCCAAACCGTCAATCCCCGACTCCGCTGGAACGTTTTCCCTACCGCCTTCTGGCTATTTTCAACCATCATTAATTCAGAACGTTCAGCGTCTTACGTTTTAGTCGCATGCATCATATCCGGTGTGTTCATTCAAAATGGCTTACCACATGCATCATTTAACCGTTCTATCAGTTCCCGGACAACCGTTAGAAACCGTCAGGGTGGTCTAGGCCAAGTCCCTAAAGGAAAAAACGATAACTTGCACTCTCCAAATAAGACAGCAAGAGTGAGATAAACACGTCATATAATGTGATCACGACAGCAAACCCGTCAAATGAATTGTTACGCGTGAACAAAGATGACACGAGAAGCAGGAGCGATAATGAGACACGAGACACTTCAAGAACCGAGCGCAGAAGGTTCAGCAGTGGCAAATATCAGTGGGGACAACAGAGAGCGTCAAGGGTAATCGCATATATTGTGAACAGTGTAGGGCGAACAAAGGGCCTCATCCAATACTCGAGGGGCGTCTTCACTCTGGATAACAATAGATGAAACGTCGTCAAAAGCAACGAACAAACACACCGACGCGAGGATCAAAAGCACGTGAGACAATGAAAGAAGACGCATTCTATTGAAAGAACCCTCCCCCACTAAACGTGAGAGCGACGAAAAAAGCACATCGACGAGAGGGTTAAACGCACGGTGAGACAATCTCTGCGGAAACGAGAGATTGATCTGACTATGTTCCGAGGGAGAAAGTGAGGATGATCCGAGGGATAGAGCAAGGTCGATCTGAGGCAAAGCAGACATATACGAGGGATCGTATTGGACAGAACGAAATCAAAACGATGAGGTAAACGCCGCTTGCATCGGCTAGTAAAACCTCGCTTGTCGTATTCATTGTAACGGCGTGATCTAGCAATTGCCTCGGTGCAATATTAGCATGTCTCATTTGGATCGGTACATTGCTGATGTGAGTCAAGTACTGCACTTGCAAGTGGTCTCTGAAGGTGCGCAACTCAGTAACACGAGTGATTCTAGTAACTAACTTACCTTGACACCGCTTTTTTGTTGGAGACTCCATTGGATCGAACAATCGTGAGACCTTTTACTTTTGGCCCTTGTGGCGTCCCACACTCAGGCTTAATCGTCACTGGTCGAGGTCATATGTGCCATGGAAGTTACCGGTAAGCCGACGTTAGAATTATGATTTGTGGGTCCTTTGGAGTCCTTTGGGGGTGGGGTTTGCAGTCTGAGATCGGGGGTTTGCAGACCGTCAATTTGCTCTCGTGATCAGCGCAGACTCCGAGGTGGTTGTATACCGGCAGTTACCGGTAACTTAGACAAAACTCTAATTCATCCGCGTACCTTCTCGAAACTTTATTCTTGGCTTGTTCTTGGCACAAAATCGTACACGTGCCTTCTGTTGTGCTCAGCGTTATCAACGATGAGCTCACCGACTCATTCACACGTTGGATCACAGGTTACAGCATTGTACTAATGAAATCAATTCGATAGGTTTGTCGAAACGGTATCACAATGTCGTAAAATGTGCCTCCGCTACCCGCGAGACAACAGATTTACTTTTCATTATACTTACTCTTCCTCATTGTGGTGGCATCGAAAATGGTAAGTACAACATGTCTACCTTTTTCTTCCTTTTCCCTCGCCCTAATTCCATTTAGATAGTACGAGTCTGGCGTGCAGTTAGCGTCCTCTATGGTCCTCCTTTTTTAAAAAAAATCCAATTAATTGGGAGTATAATCTACGAAGGACAATGCACTCTGGTGTGAGGGCCCCCAGTACCCTGAACGCATCTCTGAATTCATGAACGCCCCGATGTGACGGCCCCAATATCTCCATGCTCTGTGTCAGCATTCGATATCAGCTCGCGAGTTAATTCTAGAACTCTATATCGTCGACTTTGAGGTTCCTCGACTTCTCGCACAGTATAACTCGTCAGGCTCCCGCACGATAAATTAAATATGCGAACACGGCACGTTTCAAACACCTGACTCGTTTGTCTAGAGTACGTGACCACCCACAGGATACAGGTAGAAGGTTGGCTCATCACCGGCACCCTCAAAATCCGATATATCTTATACTGTAGTCATCCACTATGCAGGATACATCTATTGCGTGATAATATATCATATAACCACTGTAGGACAGTGACTATCTAGGGTTATTTCACCGAAGTGACAGCATCTAGATCTCGGGGACGAGCTTGTATTAGTGTTTCGAAGCAACATCTCAAGAAAAGGGTCGGCTTACCAGTCTTGGTATCACGTACTTGTAGATACCGCCAGCACAGGACTATCGCCCGAACATTCGAGCTCGCTGTCGCGTACAGCGAGCTCAAGTGTCCTGTTCTAAGAATACCTGGATTTTCATAGTATGATAGTGTATATAAAAATCAGTTCCGATCAGGCACAGATGCTATATAAATTAATGCATACTCGTAAAATCCTACTATTTCGATGCAGCCTATCAGATTCCACGGCACTCCCTCCCATTCAAGGGCTAGCGTCGTGCAGCACATGCTGGTGTGAGATTGGAAGATGGTCGTTTGAACAGTAAGTAGATAGTAGAGTATGATGGCAGCACGTTAATGTTCAAGTACATCCTATAATTAAAAGTCCCACAGTTGACAGTCGAACAAACTGCGAGCACAGTAGTAGTCAAAGAGTACTTACCTCACTCCTTACTGCATCTCCGCAGCCATGACTCGGTTTGCCGCACCAGCTAATGATGTAGGTTGGCAAGCAAAGTAAGCCTCTTTTCATTTTGAACATGTCGCCGTTTATCGTCTCGGTTTCTCCGCGCTCCCGCGGCTTCCCCGCACCCCGCGTATCTTTCTCGATCTCGTCTTACACTTTTATTCTCATTGGACAGCACTCGTATTCCCCATTTGCATGTATTGTTCTTAGTTCAAAAGAACTACTGTGTTTCATTAATCATTGCTTATAATATTGTAAATAAAAATGTTGTCGTTGGGAATTGCGGTGAAGAATGGAATCATTCTCTTGCACGCCTTTGCCACCGATAATACAAAACTACACGGCCTCCGTGAGGGTAGCAGGCATATGATATTGTCTAGTAGTAGGTCTATCAAAGTTAGGTTCAAAATGACCACTCACACATCGAGACCGTTCTGCACAATCCAATTGAATTGGCAAATTTGCATACACTGGATGGAGTATACTTCGGGTCACCGGCAAGTGCCCGAAAGGGTCGTAATGAATCATATCACTGATAGCCTATCTACGGCCATGAGCCAAGATTGAAATTTAAAATATTGAGTCGAGACTCGAAAGTATCAGTGAAGTTGAGCCGAAACGAAAATAGTGAGCACCGATTTACTAAAAGGTGTTGTGACAGCTCACCTGCGATATGATCGGTAGACCGAATTTGTGTGTAGCATCTGCGAGAATAGTCTGTGGGTGGGTATTGAATGGATGGTGTTGCCAATATGTTGGGAGGGGCTGAGGTGTCGTAACAGTTTCGTTGAACGGTTCAAGTTGATGATGTATGTCAAATCAAAGGCTCAGCGCAAGTCGACACTCTAGGAGGTCAGGCGTGCATGTTCGAGGTGATTCGTGCTGA